AAACATGCCTTTACAATTCCACGCTTCACCAGTTTGCTGTGAGAAGACGCGTACGGTAAAAGGGGTTTTTTCCCCCGTGGCTCATACGTCCAACACACGTGCCCAGCTGAAAAAGTTAGTATTAACTCTAAAAACCTCAGGGAACCATTTTCCGGCAACTCATACGTGAGAGACAGTGGTTCAAGGCATTCCTGGAACACTTGCAAGACTTGCTGAAAGCACTCACTAAGGACCTCAAGATCGCAATCAAACAAAATTAAGTAATCATCGACAAACCGGAAGCACTTACTGACATTCATTTGTACCAACCGTTGATGAATCTTTCTATCCAAATGAGCGAGATATAAATCGCTCAACACTGGGGCGATGCATGAGCCAATGCACACGCCTGTTTTTTGCAGAAAAACTTCACCATTCCACTCCGCAAAGGTGGAGGCAAGGTAAAGCTTCAGCACATCCAGGAAGCCAGAAACAGAAATACCACACTCGTTTTGAAAGGCAACAGCACCAAAATCAGAAATTGCTTTTTCAATGACATCAACAAGTGGTTTTTGAGGCAGAGAATAGTAGAGATCCTTTATGTCGATGGAAACACCCACTCGACGAGTGGACACGTGTTGACGGAGGAAGCCAACAATCTGCGAAGAATTGTTCACTAGAAAAGGATCATTAATCGGCAACAGTTTTTGCCTCTTGTGTGTTGCCTCTTGGCTTCAGAGGTACCTAAAACTGTTGCCGATTAATGATCCTTTTCTAGTGAACAATTCTTCGCAGATTGTTGGCTTCCTCCGTCAACACGTGTCCACTCGTCGAGTGGGTGTTTCCATCGACATAAAGGATCTCTACTATTCTCTGCCTCAAAAACCACTTGTTGATGTCATTGAAAAAGCAATTTCTGATTTTGGTGCTGTTGCCTTTCAAAACGAGTGTGGTATTTCTGTTTCTGGCTTCCTGGATGTGCTGAAGCTTTACCTTGCCTCCACCTTTGCGGAGTGGAATGGTGAAGTTTTTCTGCAAAAAACAGGCGTGTGCATTGGCTCATGCATCGCCCCAGTGTTGAGCGATTTATATCTCGCTCATTTGGATAGAAAGATTCATCAACGGTTGGTACAAATGAATGTCAGTAAGTGCTTCCGGTTTGTCGATGATTACTTAATTTTGTTTGATTGCGATCTTGAGGTCCTTAGTGAGTGCTTTCAGCAAGTCTTGCAAGTGTTCCAGGAATGCCTTGAACCACTGTCTCTCACGTATGAGTTGCCGGAAAATGGTTCCCTGAGGTTTTTAGAGTTAATACTAACTTTTTCAGCTGGGCACGTGTGTTGGACGTATGAGCCACGGGGGAAAAAACCCCTTTTACCGTACGCGTCTTCTCACAGCAAACTGGTGAAGCGTGGAATTGTAAAGGCATGTTTATATAACGCTTTAACAAAATCTTGCTTCCACTCAGTCCAGCGAAGTTTCGACAGGCAGATTCTCCGTCTAGAGGCAGCGGGCTATCCCGGTTCGTTGCTAGTTTCTGTGTGTGAGAAGCTGCGCAGACAATCAAGGGCCGGTAACGATGGGGACGTTTTACAAGAAGCAACTCCCAAGAGGGTGGCGGTGATACCGTATCTACATGGTATCTCGCATAAACTCAAGAAAATAGGCCAGAGAGCGGGCGTGTCAGTGGTTTTTTCCGCACCGAATAAATTGTCAAAATTATCTGTCCAAACAAGCCCCGTAGGAACCACTACGAGTAGCTGCAAAATTAAGCACCGAAAGAAGTTTGTTGAGTGTGCAACAGGGATTGTTTATGGCGTACCTTTGTCTTGTGGACTTGAGTACGTCGGTCAGTCGGGCAGGTGCCTCAATGTAAGACTTCAAGAACATTGCCAGAAAGTAAGAAATGCAGGACGGGACGGTTTTTTGGCCGCTCATTGTTCCGAATGTGGATGCCAGCCTTTGTTCGAACAGACAAGGGTTCTCGCGTCCCACCCTAATGAAGGCACAAGACTTGTAATTGAAGCTGCAGCAATTGCTCGAGGTAGCTGTATCAGCAAACCATCGATAGCATTATCTGGGAAAGAATTGGCGTTTTTGAATTCGGCACGTGAGGGCCCAGGGTGAGCACGTGATGTTTTTGCAATCTCTCTTTTCGCCTTTTGATTTTGTGTGTTGCTTATCTTCTTTCTAATATATATATGTGTGTCGTAGTAGTAATAAAATCAGTTGAAAGTCTGCGCTCGTCCTTGTCTCTTATGTTAGTTGTCTGAAGTTTTACGCGCCTAGAAGTTTCAGATCTCGACGTTGAAAAGACTGCTTTTCCGTCCACTGACTCCTTTCATTTGATATTAGGCTACAATTGAGAGCATATGACTCCTCTTATGCTTTTTTTCCTTAATTGACTATTAGATTCATTTGGTAAGGTCACATAGCAACACGTTTATGGGGAGCACTATACGACAAAGCCAGATGCCTACTCAGCCCAGAGAGAGTAACATGTCAGCCTTTGGAACCTTTTGAGACCTGCACAAAACCGTGTAGTAGCAGAAAAGCGGCATCATAGGGAAATTTTTGTCCCGTAAGCATATGTTGGTCCGCAGGGGAGTTATTCTTGTGTCCTGCTAGTGGACATGTCCTCATGTTTTAAATACTTCTGATATAGTTCGATCGGGGTGAAATTTTCCCCACACATTCCTTAACAAGTGAAAGCTGCAAGTACTTTCTTTGAGATTTGGTATTCACGTATCATTATTAACCGAATATAGGCAATGAATATGGGCTGATCATTCTCAAAATTTTCTTATCACAATTTCTCTTGTCAACTAATGTCGCATACTCACTTTCTTGATAGTTATTTGAATTCCACAGTTATTGTGGAGCAAAATGAGCCATCAATGGCTCATAATCATATGATCCATTGATGGCTCATATGATTGATAGTTCATAATTATGAGCCAATGGTCCATAAGATGAAGTAAACAGTGGAAAAAAGCCTTTCGGACTTCTCGTCGTCAGCTTTCAGGCTTTCTTGATCTCTTGATTGTATCACGGCTGATGCACTCCTTATTCAAACCCGGCAATCTCCCTGTACATCAATTAGGTTTAATTTCCTGTCAATTATGGTTATTAGCTCATCAGCTCTTGAAATAGTTAAACGCGGTTCCTAGCGCACCTGAAAAGTCGGTGAGCATTACCTGAATCGTTCTTCAAACAGCTCCATACGTTCACACGCAAGTTTGGACTTGTCAAGCTAAGAGTTCTGTTAACATACAATTCATTCTTTCGCTTGAAGTCTCTTTACGCTAGAAATGTGCGTGCGAGTTCGGTGCATTAAGGTGGTCAAGAGTGCCGTGACGTCGCGGCTTGCAGCTTTTTAGAGTAACTGAATGTTACTCTAATGAAGTTTAGTTAAGGAGTGCATCAGCCGTGATACAATCAAGAGATCAAGAAAGCCTGAAAGCTGACGACGAGAAGTCCGAAAGGCTTTTTTCCACTGTTTACTTCATCTTATGGGCCATTGGCTCATAATTATGAACTATCAATCATATGAGCCATCAATGAATCATATGATTATGAACCATTGATGGCTCATTTCGCTCCACAATAACTGTGGAATTCAAATAACTATCAAGAAAGTGAGTATGCGACATTAGTTGACAAGAGAAATTGTGATAAGAAAATTTTGAGAATGGTCAGCCCATATTAATTGCCTATATTCGGTTAATAATGATACGTGAATACCAAATTTCAAAGAAAGTACTTGCAGCTTTCACTTGTTAAGGAATGTGTGGGGAAAATTTCACCCCGATCGAACTATCAGAAGTATTTAAAACATGAGGTCCAAACGTAAAAAGTTGCCCAAAAATGAATCTTAGGAAACTAATTCCAAAAGTGTAAGTGAAAACTCATCTATGCGGAAGAGATACGTTTTTTTAGGATTTATTCCATCATGAGATATTGGCAGTCATATGGTTATTAAGAGCATGTGGCTTTAGTGAACTGATGCGAAATGCAATGACAAGCCGCCAGTTGGTGACGATTTCCAGGGGACTCTAGACAACGAGTTTTTCGTTTCAGTAGCCACCTTGTGCTCTTTAAAGGGGACTTGAACGTATTTCGAGTTTATTTACAAATGTATCTTTTCGTCATAAAAGTAGATGAATTGAACTTGTGAAAGTGAATAGAAAAAAAATATGCAATTTTGGAATACACTTGTGTTTTTAGACTCATGTCCCGCTACGTTTGGTTTCCAAAACCTTGGCACGAAATCGTGTCAAATACAAGCTTTTATAAACAGTCTATACCAATGCATCCTAAAAGAAAATGTGTTGGTGGACTTCGTACAGAAGTAGCCAAGGGATAAATGAAAGCTCCTTGAGCAAGGGGAGGCTATAGACACTCTGCAACACATTAAAGGAGCACTGACAACAAATTTCAAAGGTGAAATAATGAGCGGAAGATTTAGGCGAAGACATACAGAACATCGAAATATCAAGGGCAAATGAAGCCCAGAACACACATAAAATCAACTGTAAAGTTAATGCCACGTGACAAAGTGACATGCGGAGCCCTTCGCGACGCCGGCATCAATGCGATGGCATTGTAAACCGACTTGCGTAATTAGTTCGTGTTGCTGAAACGTGCCCCGTGCTTGGCTCTGCCCGCTTTTGCGCGCGTGGTGCATACGTCACAACTTTGCGTGGCTACGTGGCAATTAAGCTGCGTTTATTTTGCCACCACAACTGCTCCTGCCTTGCTCGGTGCTCCTCGAAATCGAAACTATGACTGGGCTCTATAAATGAGCGTCTAAATAAATAAACGTCGCGGAAATGAGGTTTCCAGCCGTTATAAGTGCGTCATAAGATACCTACATCAAAAGAGAGTTACACACTTTATGTAAGTGCTCCTTTATAAAGTTACCTTGCATACTTGAATGTTTAGCACTGCTAGGATCGAAACTATGACGGGTGGCTATATACCCTGAACATACTCCAGCCTCGCTGTGTTTACCTGCCAAGTTGGTGCGGCCAACGAAGCTCCCAGCAACGATGGACGATTCAGTGGTCTCTGCCGAATCGCTGGTGGTGCGCCTCTGCGAGGTTCCCCGCCTTGCTGTCTATAGTCCAGGTTTTCTGTGCGAAGCTGCATCGACACGTCTCATCGTTGACAAGTTGAAATGAACACTTGAGATTGTCTTTTCCGAAACAACGGCAAGATTACATGCATGTTTGACATCGACTTTCCAATGTGCACATAAGTTCACAACCACAGGTGTCTGCACTTGGTTCCCAGTCAAATCCCGCAGCTGCTAAGCCACTGGGTGCAAGCGTGACAAAAAGCCCACATGCTTAGCACAGCCGTATGTGACAAAGTCCGAGGTTGTACGAAGCTTTGAAACTTGTTTCCGATTGTCCAAGAGGGGCTATGTAACGATAACCAAAATTCGTGGTTTTTAGCAACTCGGCAAAAGATAGAAGCAGAGGGTCTATTGTGCCTGCAAGTATATAAAAATTGGTAAAAGGATGCTCTAGTGCAAGATAAACCCTGAAGTCACTGGCTATAAACCTCTAAGACTACCAACAAACACCATTCGGTCATATTGGGTGTGACGCCATGTGCTGCACGAAGCAAAGTAATTATCTAGCAAAATTTCAGCAGCTGAGAATTCATTAGCTTGATTGCTAAGCTGAATAAGGCTAAAATATTTCGATAGGATGCGCTGCTGCACACTGAACGAAACAGCCTACCGGAATTGGCCAGAATGCAGACGCTCGCAAAGCAAGCAGCTTGTCAGGTCTCAGCTCACGAGCGCATCAGTGTTGTCTCACTCTCAGTACACTTGTTTGATCAAGTGGGTGTTCGACCAAATTCACCAATTTCGTCTATTTGTGAACGTACAAGTATTAACCTACATAGCACAGAATATGATCAAAAATTAGGTGTCATGGCCTCTTCAATGAAATGTTGGTGGTTCAAACTGAGGAGGGAGAAATAATACTGGCTAGAATACTGGCATTTTCGTATGTCTTCGCTTTTGTCGTTCTCAATTCGCCCCACAAATCATGTTAAGCTGGGCACCAGCTTGCCCAATATACACTGTCAATTAAATGATATTCACATTGTCATTTCCCACATTGTTCAAGGTATGAGAGACTCACACGAGGCACTGCTGAGATGTCAACCAGAGAGACCTTTCAGTTCCAGCAGGGAATTGCTATGCGGGTGGGCCGACGTCTGCTCTCCTTGTACAAACGAAGACTGTAGCAGGTAGCGTAAGTCGAGAAGCTGTAATGACATAAAAACCAGTTTGGAGTACAGAATACGCACAATGCAGCACTACAGGGAACACACGAGCATGTGGCGAATAGCCTTCGACATACTCGGATAGCAATGTCAAAAAAATATAAGCGATAAGGACCATGGTTTTCTGTGAATTATCGCTCTTAACACACGTCCATATATACAATGTATGAATTGTGACGATAGCTGTTTATTGCGCCACCCTACTGCAGCACTCATGAGCTGCAAACTGCAGCTCTTAAAAATCGATTTCGCCGCATCCCAATTTTTTGTTGGACACACACAAAGACGCACAAGCGAATGGAAGAGCGGCGCTTTGCACAGAACGATTTAACAGCCCACATATGTTTCATTTGGCATACCTGCCTTATACTTGAGAGTTGGAGGCAATATGTAATCAGTTCAGTTTTTTTTTTCTCAGCAACGGAGGGGCGGGCGTGCTGTCATTTAGCGGCACCGCAGCACAATTTACAGTGTTTCCAACAGTGGCTACCATTAATCTGCGTGCATCGATCCAGTTCGACAATGACCTGTTCCCACTTGCACTGCTCCCGATAGAACTTCTATTAGTAAAAGTTTGCAGCATACACTCGCAAGATGTTACCAAGAAGCCAATGAAGGTCAGATGTCTTGCCTTAACAGTTTATGAACTCTCTCTTATTATGGCGCACGAACTTTCTCGACAGCACTTGAACACCTATACGGGACTTGCACGGACCCCCACAGCAACTTCATAGCAGCCACCTTGCGTTGAGCGTACCAATATGACCGCCGAACTGAAAGGCAGATGAGGGAAACTCGTGGAATAAGATAAATAGAAAAAGACTGCACACCACGTACCAATCCATACTACAAGGCCCACAGGTGATCCATGCACAATCTCCAAGGTCAGGATCATTGCAGACCAGACTTGACGGAAACTGGTGGGGAAGCATCACCATAGAAGTGGAACGTGGAAGCACGAGGACTGCAACAAAGTAAGAGGAACTGTTAGTAGTAGACTCGAGAGTTGCAGAATATTAAAAAAAAAAAACATCATCTCCCGCTAAAGGGAAGCATGTGTAGACGCGAAGCGGCGAGCGCTAAAGCTTACTCTGGCGTTGACACAGGTACTCATCGCCACGTTGCACAGGAGAGAAACCTGGAGAGGCGCAAAGCACGCAGCGAGTCTGACAGACCAGTGTTTCTTAGTGGAACATGCCAATTGCTGCTAATGGACATTGAGAGACATAAAACTCCGATTGTACACAGATACCCGCAGTCCGCCTTTAGTTAACGTGCACGCTGCGAATTCATAGTGTTGAACACAGGAGAAATCTCCCGTGCACCACATTGGAGGCCAATATCTAGTGCCTATATTAATACGGGGTGGACATGAATGGTAGCACGTGCAACGCGAGAAGTCTGTTTTCTAAATCAAGAAACTCGCCAACGGACGCTGCCTGCATGGGCATCGGGAGGCGAGAGAGGTGAGCGAGCGTAGACTACGTAGCAGACGATGCCTGCCTCGGCGTTGTGAAGCGAGGGAGAGGAAGCATAGGAAAGGGAGGGGGTGGTCGCGAGCATGCGCAATCGGGGTGTGCGTGTTCTGTGAGTGCGTGTTCTGCTGCTTGTCCGTTTGCTGCAGCCACGACCTGCCGCTGAAGACACCGTTTAGAGAAAGACTCATATGACTTACGGTTTCTGAAACCTGATGCAATAAGCGCCATCTCCCCCCACCAGTTAGTTCCCTTTTGGTTTAAATATAAATTCAGAACAACCTAGAGTGTCATCACTACCAACGTAATCTCTCAATAAAGCTCATTGGAAGAAACCGTCAATAGTAAGCTTTTAGCAAACACTAAACATAGCGAACGAATTGTGAACTGACTAGTAAAGCATCGTTAACAAAGTTTGCAACAATAATGCGATTTAGTCGGGCATTCGTTCACCAATGTTAACCAAACTACTTCGTGACTATGATCACCAACATGAGTTAACTAATGATCCAAACATACTAAAAGGACCATTTGGTTTGTACGTTTCGTTTCCATATCGAGTTTGTTCTAGCCAAACCGCGGGTTCCAGGTTGAGCCTCTTGGTTGAAATTTACGTTTAACGAGCTTACAGCGCAAAAGTAGACAAGGACAAAAGTAAAAAAAAAAGAACACTGTGCTGAGTGCACCATGTTCGTTTCTTTCCTTTTCTTTTTCTGTTGCTGCATTGTTAGCCAAGTTCAAAATCAAGTGTTTCATCGCAAGAGCATCGGGTCAGGTTTAAAAGTGACGGTAATTGATCACTCCCACTAAATGCAAACTCCATATCAGACTGATAATTTAAATGTTCGCTGTAACAATTGCTACCTCGTTATGGTTTCTAATGAGTTAAATGCAATTAACTAAAGACATGTCTGAACTGGTGCTTCCTTCGGTGTTGCAGTTAACTTGGACAACTGCTCTAGCACTTCCATGCAAAAGCCAGGAGATATATTGCAGATTTTGTTCATTGCCGTGCTGTATACAGTGCTTCACTACCTACGACGATTGCAAAATAAAAACAGCGCTCACGCATTGATAAACGTGGTGCAGCCAGTCGCGAGTACGAAGAAGAGTTGAGATTTGTGAGCATAGGAATTCGTTGCAAAGCGGGAGAGCACATTTTGTTATAAAAAGGTAAGAACTCAATTTTGTTGGCATAGATTCATTGTAAAGAACAGTGCGGGTATACACGAGAGAAGAAGCGACAAGAATGAGAAATGCACAGTCTTACAAGAGGACAGTCTTAAAACAGGACAACGCTTTGTCCTGTTGTCTTCTGTCGTATACCCATGCTGTTTTTTTTTAAGGATGCACATCTTTTTTTGGACAAACCTTGTTTTGCCAGTAGGAACCTGTCTAAACTTAAAGCCATGCTAAGTGCTGGATGAGATGTTTTTGACTTAATATCTGTGCCAGCCAAGCAACGAAGACCATTGGAGCGTCTGACATCGTAAAAATGCGACGAATGCAGCCATGCAGTGGCGTAGCCAGGGCGCCCCAGACCGTGCCCGGTGTACCATTGTCAGCGGCCTGTTGGCGTATGCCACTGTCACTTGCCCAATACTGCCCGTTCCTGAATTATTGATTTACAAAACGCCCCAGCTAAATGCACGCGTACACTTGCCGACTACTTAGTGAACGTTGTCAAAGAGCTAGCTTTGCTTAATGTGCTGCCTATATTGGATTACACGGGTGCTTCTCCCTTCGTAAAAAATGTACATACCACTGATGGCAATGATAACCGTAGTTTTAGTTCATATCCGTGCAAACGCCATCACCGCCAAGTCACTATGGTGGGTGGTATAAGAGCACACACTACGACATGCCCAAGATAACTTTTACAGCGAAAGCTGTTATGCGATGACAAATCTGGTCAAGCGCTGTTGTCCGCAACCACATCGCGCGAAATTAGAAAAAAAATGGCAGCATATTCACAGGGTGAATGATGGATAGTGGGGTGAAGCATCTGTCCGTCCATGCGTTCGTCTGTGTGACCATCCGTGCGTTTATCCACCCGTCTGTTTGTGCGTCCACACTTCCATTCGTACATTCGTCCCTGCGTTCGTCCATGCATCCGCCTATATGCGTCCATCCGTCCGTCTATCAGTCCATGTAGCCATCCGTGCGTCCGTCCATGCATCTGTCTGTGTGTCCGTACCAGCGAGTATAACGTAGCAACCCTTTCTTGTCAGCTAGTGCTCAATGTACATGCCAATGGCTGCTAATGGGGAATGAGAGACAGGAGAATGCGGCTATTAGTTAACGCGCACACTGAGATTTTTTTATTGTTCAACAATGCACAGGAGAAATCTTCCCCCGGCACCACCTTG